CAACTGGCTAGGGATTGTACACGAACAAACGAACGAACGTAACACGATGGCGTGACAAATGGCGTGGATGCTTGACCGTAATCCTTCAGCTAAACAAATCGACTAAAACATTGGAGGCCAGCATCCAATGTTCAGTGATGAATACTGTGGGCAGTTATTCTGGGGAATTACCTGCCGCTAAAGGCTGCAAAGATCCTCGTGCAGATATGTGTTTTTACTGAACAGGTGGACATAAACCAAGATCAAGAATCGTTACTTCAAAACCAAGTGGACAGGACGGAGAAATTCATTACCCTTACAGAAACTATGAAGAAGACCATCAGATACTGCATGCTCGGAAACGAAAATACTGGCCATTATTTGTCGTTGAGGAATACAACATTGTTCTTGACGTTTCATTTTAGATATGTTTTATTTTTAGTTTTTCATTTTTGCTTCCAGCTTGATTCCACACCCTATTTTCGGTACAAGTATGGAATTTTCAGCCTGTGATATCGGCAGCCCAAATTTTTGCAGGCCGACCATAGATATCAGGTGTGCGTCGGCAGGGGATCGAACCTCGGACCATATGTATGTTCGCCGAGAGTCCTAACCATTGTGCCACCGTCGCACACGTTTCACGACTTACACCACACTATTGATGCCTGCTCTCCACATTGCAAAGTCGTTGATTTTAGCCATGAATTAGTCTTCCAGTCGCCTATATTGTTGGATGTATTAGTTAATGTATAGTTATCCAAGCGAATGACCATCAAAATGACCTTGGACGACTAATCAGATGAGTCCTTGAAACAGGGTGTAATTTGAAAGTAGTTGTTGTAAGGCATGGTAAGTTCGGCGGTTTTCTATGCTTGTCTGCTTTCAGGTTGGCTGTGAAGTATGCAGGGATTGGTTACCCAAGACGAGGCATCGGATGACCAATAGGAGTGCCCTTCCCTCTTATCTAATTGTATTGCGATTGGTTGTAAATATAATACTTGACCTTGAGTCTTCGTTCTTACCAGCACGCAGCACTTGTGTGATCACACTGCTAACGTGCGCTTTGCTCTCTGTTTCAGATCATTGCTTGACGAGTGGGATTACATTGTATACGGCGAAGTTTAAGAATAGGGTCCCAAAACCTTCAACGCTCAAATGACCTTGAACGCATGCTAGTCGTTGGCTAACGGTTCCTGTCATTATCATAGCTGAAATATCAACCCTATTCATCAAATAAGGAGCAAGTTTCACCCAGATAACACTTTTATTACTGTTTGGACAATGTGTTAACATCTCGTTAGGGTTAGGATAGGGGTTAAGGCGAGTATTGTGGTTAGGGTTAGGTTTAGGGGTTAGGTTTAGGGGGTTAGGGTTTTATGGTTAGGGTTAGGGTTTGGGGTTAGGGTTAGGGTAGCGATTAGGAATAGATATTTCGTTTATTTCAAGTTCGTTTGTAATCCTTATTTCCCTTGTATGTAGTCGCCAATGATCTTACTGGAACCATAGTAACTAAACCGAGGGCTGAGGAGAGGACTACACAGCAAGAGAAGAGAGATGAACCATTCCCAAAACAGCACACCTTCAGTCTCTTTGGTGATTACATCTACAGAAACTAGTCCAAATTAGCAACTGATACTCTTCATCGCAACTGGAACGTATTTTTAAGTCACATAAGAGAAATATAATCCGTTTAATGTTTTTTTCATGCATTTTTTGTAAATATACGTTAAATTTTATGCAAAATTCCTCCTATGATTGGTCGGCTCAAGGTCATTGTGCGTTCGCATCTCTTGGGACTCCATTCTTAAACTTTGCCTAGGAGTCGAAGTAAGTAGTGAAATGTAGTTTTGCAGAGTAGCAATCCCGTATATGTTCTAAGAATATCCACCAGTTCTCTGCAGAATTTCTTTGTGTCTGACCAAACCCATTCCAGTGCTTGAATTCATTTAAATGACTGTATTGTGAATTCATGAATTCACTGTACAGTATCCGCGTGCTCGCGGACACATCTCAGCTAGCATTTTATTCGGGCGCACTGCAAAGCGTGGGACATTGGTCCGAAGCCTGTCCCAAACATTCTGCAGTGCTCCCAAAGTCAATGCTGACTGGTTATTAATGTTTCATTTTGAGCCGCTATAGTTCAGAGTCACCATGTATCTGTGTGACAGCAATTACCTGTAAACAATGCATAACCATTAACGGCAACTGTATGTTACTGCAAATTCATTACCGATCTATCTATGCAAGGTCTGTTCCCTCCTACACGTCGTACTCCTGGGGGACACAACTTCCAGATGTTGGGGGACAAAATGACTTAAGAATTTTTGTAAGCCGTGACTAAAAAACAGTAGCAAATTGTTATCGAACCGCAGCTAAGACTTTTCGAATGCTATGGGCACTTCGAAGGGCTTTCAAACGATTAGAAGAGGGTATGTTCCTAGTATTCTGTGCAACACACATCAGACCTCATCCAGAATACTGCATACAAGCGGTGAGTCCATGCTTCAAAAAGGACGCACATACCCTGGAAAGAGTACAGAGAGTAGGGACGAAATTAGTTAGTGGTATCCCACAACTTCCTTGTGGTATGAGGATAGAGCATTTAAATCTCTTCCCATCTTCATACCGGTGGGGGAGAGGCGACTTAGTTTTTCCGATTTAGGGATTAACCTTTTCTCTCCTTCTAGGATACATTTACGAGGTAACCACATTAAGGTGCTCAAACAGAAGTGGCATTTAAATTCTCTCACAGAGTGGTCAACGACCGAAGCTCCTTACCTGATACAGTAGTAATGGCTCCACCGGTGAACGCTTTCAAAGTGCAACTAGATCTCTGCAGATATATATATATATCGCAAGGATTAACGTAGACGACAAGAGCCTTCTATCCTTATAGTCTGAATCTGACTGTATGGAATAGATACCACTCTCCTGACTCAACGGCGATCACTGATTAGGTGTGCCCAATTGGTCAACTACAGTTGACCTTTCAAACTAAATTTATTTATGGGAACTGGCTTATTCTTCAAGGATGACACTTATTAACATCTGGACCATATTTTCGAAAATGTGCGTTTTTAAGAATCGCTGTTTATGAGGTCGGGTGTAAGATTACAATTCATCACTGAAGACTTTTTTATACTCTTAGGACAGTAGACAGGTATGGAGCACGCTGCGAGCATTTCTTCTTAATGTTAACGATGTTGTATTCTCGGCTAATTCGAACGCTGATAGATATCCTTGTTCGCATCACCAGTCAGGTGTTTTCTAAACCATGATAAAACGGTTTCGTGATTCAATCTACACTACTGAGTGGCGAAATCAGTGTCATATCACTTTGTATAATTGGATCGTATATACTATGGAAAATTAACTGTCATCGCCTTTATTTGTTTTCAGTAAACTGGCTGTTAGAAGCAAGAGTAATCTCTGTGCTTTGATACAGCGTAAGTAGTAGCTAAGTATCACTTGACATTGTTTATTCTTGTATAAGAGACTGGACTTTTATATGTGACCTGTTTCATGTACTTTAGTTAAGGAAACAAAATATTGTTGCTGATCGATTAAAGAAAATCCACATTTTGTATGCTGTACGACTGTGGTTTAGTAGATTGTGAGGTGTATGTCTGGTTAGCAGATGAACCAAATTTCAAAATTGTAACATTTATGCATTCATATAAGTGTAACACTACAAGTAAACCACTGTGAGCGATTTCCACTTACTTTTCTCAGGTGTCTGTTAGGTGACCAGTGATTTGGCTATAAAAACGCACTGGTAAAAGGTGAATATATGAAAGTGTTATGCATATTCAGTACCTAATATGTAGGGATCTGCAAGTTTCTGTTTGAAGTTAACATTATTTGGCGTACGCTATGTCGACTACCTGGCTGCTTTTGTATTCTGGACTTCTTATCGCGTAGACTGTAACACGTGTCTATCATATCTACCTGATTTTCTTTCTGTCTGCGGACATCAGCCCTACAACTGCAGTCGACGTTGCGGAGGCAGTCTTTTTACCTAAATGGGGCAGACTGCCAGGACTTGAAGCTAATTTCATGAAAAATTTTGAAAATATTCAAGTACTCACGAGTGCATTTGCCTGACCAATATAGCGTCTAAAATCACAGCATCCATGTTTACGCGATAACTAAGTTATACGCAAAACGGAAAAGATTTAGTCAGACTTCAGACTCAATTGACAATACATTAATCAAATCTGCTGCTGAATCACGATTTCGGCTTTCGAAATCTCAGTAAAACATACTTTGCTGCCAGTCTATGAATAAAATTTTCTTGCGAGGCTGCATTCGGCTATACCACATAAAAATGCATATGACACTTCACTTCCTCACGTGAAGCTGAGTGAATTAGATGTACCGTGCGTTTGCTCGTAAATCACTCTCCAGAATACTATCTAGTTAGGCTAATAAAGTGAGGGCTGTGGCGCCTATAGCTTGGCAGAAGAACATCCGAACTCTGGACACACAAGTCTATTTGAGAGATCCTTCGAAGTCCTTTACAATATTTGACAAAACCTCAAAAGAGATATGATCAAGACATTTAGGTATGGTCCAGGCATTAGGGATGCTAAATCTCAAGCGAACACCAGAACAAGTACATTCAACTTTTGTTAATACCATGGCCGTCATAACCAGTGCATTTTATCAACAACAGGAAAATATTATCCGATTGTGTTTATCCGAACTTCCTGCTTATTTTTCTTATGATTACGTTTTAAATCCCTAGTTGTGTTATGTAATCTCATCTCATTCATTATATTTTGACCCCTTACTACTCATAGTTATGGGAATCACTCCTCTTTTATAAGTTCGTGGACTTACAGCCTAGTCGATGACTTCTTCAAAAATAAACGAACTTTTCGTTGCAAACGTCTTTTTGTTTTTCATATAAAAAGGTCCTGGGTTCGAGTCCTGGTGGGTGCGTACTGATGAAGATTCCCAAACTAGGACGAAACAACTGTCCAGTACTCCCAGGTTTTCCAATGGTTCTCTAACTAATGTCAGCTCATGATGAAATCCTGAAAAAGAGTGTCAAGTGACTACATTATGCTAATCAAGTCACTCTTCCAAAACTGTCACTGTCCTGTGAGAGTTGTTTGGAATGATAGCACCCACTGCCATCGGTCGATAATGTTATGAATCTTCATCGGTTAAGGTAGTTAGGTAATATATTACGTAAACTAAATCCACTGTCTTCCTTGAGAAGCAATGTTAACTGAATCAGCATTAGCCTAAAAAGGAGTTCGTGGTAGCCATACCACAAAATGGTATCAATCAATGAGCTCATTGATTCCTGATGATCTAAGCTACTTAAGGTGATGTAAATTACATGGGTGGAATCAGTGATTAGAGACACATAGAGGCAGCTCAGAATCATTCGAAATGTATCCACCTATCATTTATTGAGATTCTGGTAGTTTTAATTACCTTTCTCCATCACGCCTATGTCTGTTTATGGAAGTATTATCCTGCTACTTTTTCTTGTGCTTTTCGAAGCGTGGTGAGTTGGACTGATGTGCAATTTTCCGTTAGCGAGTTTCTTTGTCTTATTTTTCGTCGCTTTTTGTTTTAACACACCAACGTGAAATGGTGAAGGCATAATATTAATGCAGTTCTGCTACATTTTACATTGATATCTCGTAAGGGAAAAACTGTTTAGTAAGCAGGAGAACCTAAAGCTCACCTTTCTGTGGTAACGTTTCTATGTGCCCAGTAGTGCCAATCGGAATAGGTTTGTTGTCATTGAATCTTAGCACCACCAATGCCTTATTTCTCCCGCCTTCTTCTCTTGCTTTGTGTGCTACATGGAGTGTGGCGACTTAAACTACCGCACATCGGTGCAAAGTTCTATGTCGAAAACAGACAGATAGAATGCTTTATTTGGTCTAGATTTCTGAATTAGTAAAATATGTTACTGGATAAAAAAAGCCCTTTTTCAATATGCTTCTCATTATCGCAATATTAACATTGAATACCCATTCTGCCTAGATATAATGAGTCAGTGACGGTCTGTATTCAGCCTTCATTTCCTTATCACCTCTAACATCTCCCTTTTATTATTCAATGCTTGTTTTCTCTTCACTGATATTCCGATATGTCTGTTAAACCTACTTAAATTTATCAACTCCAGATTGTATACAATTAAACATTATAAAAAATGGTCGTATATGATATGAAAGCTTATTATCAAATAGGAAATAATATAAAATTACGCATACAACACTATTAAAAATAATGAGTACTATAGTAGGGATTGAAGTACCCAACTATTAGCACAGTGTCGCAGTTAATAGAGATTTTAATATCTAAGGAGAAACAGATGAACTGTAAATATGAGTTGAGTTAATGAAAGAAATTTCAAACAAGACAAATTCACTATGTGTTAAGAATTGGGTTTTATTTGAGATCCAACTTTTCTTTCAGTTTGATTTACTTCCATTGCATCCAACTGAAAGTCATCGCTCAAGGTACCTGATGTTCAAATAATTGATCGTAGATCAGGTGGTGTCATGGTTATCTGTATTATACTGGTGACTCATTGCACAGCTGATAAATGTTTTTATGGCTGTTTTTTCAATTATTGACTATTACTAATTTAATGTGATTTTTTCCAACCTACAGATTTTGAATGATCTCATCGATTTACATCGCCAAGACACAAGCCTACCAGAAAAGTTGTGCATTAATTACTCAAATACGAAATAAAAAATATTATCGAAAATGGTGGATACCATATCATTTGGATGACTATCAAACAATAACAAGAGCACAGCCTAATGGTTATGAGAAGTGGGATCAAGAGTGGAATGATTCACACCTACCAAGTGAATTACAATTTTTTGATACTTCACGTCTACCCACACATCTGAAGGCAAGAAGCAATCCGTCAAGGGAGTTTTTTAATATTAAAAGTAGAAAAGAACAAACTGAAGACTATCGAAGACGATTATTCGGGGAATACGGATTCAAGAGCGGCATTAATCCAGCTTATTTGTTCATGGATGAAAAAGAAGTATCATTTGAAAGAGAGAAAGAGAAGCTACTTGAAAATCCTGTTGTAGAAATAGTGAATGCAAAGCAAGAGGAAGAGATAAAGACTAGGAAGGAAAATGAAGAATTGTAAGTATCAAGTTAATTGTCATCATATTACTGTCTTTTTCATCCTCAGAATGTTACAGATTAAGAAGAATTTAGAAAAAATGCCGGAACTACTGAAAAAGTATTATGCTCAAGAGGCTAAGCAATCAGTTGCGAAAGTAGAGAAAACGGATAAAATGAATATGCTGTTAGAAGAGGTGGGTAATTTACTTTGTTATTATTTCAACTCTGATTTTTAGGCAAGAGACCGATTTGGTTATTATCCGCACAAAAATGATCCTAAATTCCTTAAGTTGGTGGAAGAATTCAGCGAACAGAAGAAGCTCGGACGTAAACAGAAGAAAGACAAGAGTGTATAGAATAAATGAAACTTTTCCTTATATTTGCTTCACGTTCTTAAATAGTTGAATAACGGGACTAATATTCTAATGGAAGAGATTCGTAGCTTTCGGAGAAACATATAACGCTCCAGTAAATGAAACATCCCCATATTGAAATCAAAATAAGATTTTGAGCGAACAATTGTTTTCGATAACTTCTTCAGACTCTACAATTATAAATCCATGAATAATAGAGTACATATAGCCAGTAAAAGCAAATGAAAATAATATCAGAAACTGTATTGGGGTGCGTGTGTAATTTGAGATGATAGTCCACTAGTTGACATAGTCAATTAAATGTATATAGGGTGTATAATCAGAAAAAATGTGATGAAATGTGAATGAACAATTGGGTGATATAGTGTTGTTTTATAGTCAACAGAATACAAGCGTCCTTGGGGTGAGAGAAATGCGATAACCACAAAATACATACAAATACACATTTTTCACCAAAGTGAGAGGGCAAAAGCGGATGCCCGGCGCTCTTCACCGGTTGACTGTCCATTGGATGACAGTCTAGGGGAGATGGCTAAACCCTGATTCCAAACCTCCAACGACTGGCGTATGAAGCTCACCGGCAGACGTATGGACAAAGGGCTTATTGGATGCCCTGGATGACTGGCCCCATTCAAAAAGGCGAATGAACCGGACTCCGGTCACCGGCTGCCAATGGATAGTGGACTCCCTACTCCACTCCTACTGCCTTGTAGGTCACACTTGGTTGTGTAAAGGCTAGAGCTGCACTCTCAAACAAAAGGCCGAGCGATGCTGGGGACATCACTCGTACCCAATTCCCATGAAACTTCATGGTTCATGAAGCCGGCTCATCCTCCCGTAGGAGATAGCCGAAGTAAAGTAAGTAAGTAACAAAGGAAGCACTGAATGTGACGGCTGACCGATAATGTCTAATGATAAAATAAAGAGGCCAAATTGTAAATTGTAATAAGATGTTACAGAATTGGTAGGCTTAGTATAAAATCATGAAGGTTGACAAAAAGTAAGGGTAACACAATGAGGTGAAATGAACTGGGTGGAGAAATGGATAATAAAGACATGATATCACAAAATGATAATAATAGTACGAAAAATTATGATCCCGGTGACCTTATAGTGGGCCAGGGTAGACAAAGAGAGTGAATAAGTTTTTCCTGTACACATAGTTCTGGTCTCTCTCTCTCTATTAAACTCTAAAGCCTCAGCCATGGCTAGGAGGCGTAATCATGTGCCTTTGGGGAGATTGTTCGGTACTCGGTACACAACTGTAAATGACTCATCAACTTTGATGCTGTGTTCGCTATCCACTAGATGAGACAGAATTGCACTATTTAATGATTTGGTTGCTCTTTTCCTAAACCAAACAGGAATATGTTCACGAGTGCGTAAAGATAAATTCCTCTGAGTACGACCCATATAACTAGCTCCACAGGAGCAGTTGAATTTATATACACACATTGATGTCGCCATTTTGGGCAATCTATCTTTAATGCACGGTGTCGATATCGGTTTGGTTGAGAAGCTGACATACAGTTTTGTGGCATTAAAGGTTCTTTCAATTGATCTTGTTAATCTACGGTTTAATATATCGCCTTTGAATTGTACATTTAAGTAAAGCTTTTTCTTACTTACTGTGTCTCGGTTGGTTTCATGTGTAGTTTCATAACGCTCCTCTTAAACGTATTTTCAAATTTTCTGTTTGTGCAGACTTGATTAATTTCATGGTCAAATCCACAAATCAATACCAGCGGAAAATGGGGAACACTTGCAAGTTGTTTCTCGCTAGTTTTAGACTCTTCAGCAGTATGTGCATATGAGCACCCAATAATCGAACCAGTTTTACTTGTTTGATCCGCAAATAAGACGTTTGAATGTGACTATGAACACGTACGTAGACGCGTCACTTTTTCATCATCAGCTTCTATTTCATAGAAATTGCAGATGCACATTCTATAAAAATATTCACCTTCCAGGAGAAGATCCATTATCTGTTTATGGTCGGGATACACCTTATTGACATAAGTATAAAACTTGGGCACTGTGGTAGAGTATAACTCCTTTATGGTTAAGATTTTATTTTGATAAATCTTATCCATAACGGATACACCTTAATGTCCTTGTCGAGTAAATTCAGATATGTGCAATCACAGTTCAACGCTCTGACGAAATCTCAGCACGAATACAAGGGGCTCGTTTCACATTTCCCAGTTTACGCCGACTCTGGCGTAGACGAGATGTTCGACTACCGACCAAAGGGCGGGTGTACTGCTCATCAGTCCGCCCGTCCTCCTTTATGGCTGTGAGACCTGGCCACTGAGAGTGGAAGACATGAAAAGACTAGCTGTCTTTGATCATAGGTGGCTGCGTTCTATTTCCCGTGTAAAGTGGCATAATAAGGTGAGCAACATGGAGGTTAGGCGTCGAGTTCTAAGTAAACACGGGAAATCAATCGACGAAGTCGTGAAGCTACAAAGACTGAGATGGTTAGGACATGTGTTACGTATGCCAAGTCATCGACAAGCGATGTTAGCGGATATAGGGTCAGGCTGGAAAAAAGCTAGCGGCGGTCAAACAAAAACTTGGCACCAGTCAATGAAATCCACAACAGTTGGTCTAAGCCACGTAGAAAGGTGTAGACTTCCAGGCTGGGGTCGTCGGGACGGTAAAAATCTATGGTTGGAAACAATTGGTGACGTGGCTCAAAATCGTTCTCAATGGCGCAGATGCATCCACTCCTTGTGATTTATGATTTCCAATGAAACTGTTTTGTTCTTCGTTATTACTCATCTCTTGTCTCACCCTTCTGCTTACTGTTTCTATTATGCTTTTCTTGTACTTTCTTCTCTTGCTTCGCGTGTTACATGGAGTGTGGCGACTTCAACTGCCGCACATATGTGCAAAGTTCTATGTCGAAAACAGACAGACAATTCAAAGCATCACGACAAACTATTATGGTTTGCAGAATTACTATTCTAAAATGATTATTCACAAATTGAAATAAACTAACGAATGATTTTAACAGATAATACTCGTCTCGATCTTCAGATGCTTAGTTAATATGGTCTAAATTTAGTTAAATATTTATGTTTTAGATAATATATATTCTCTCTTACTAACTTAGAGGACAAACACCACCTGAACATTTATCACTGCCTATAAAGGTTTGACTGGTTACCCGTCAGTATTTTCTCTGAATACCGCAGGTAACACGTACCACACCTCAACTACTGATGGTATGCCTTCCTTAGGGTTTTTAGTGACACAATCCTCCTTGATCACTAAAGTCTACGAGATAAGATAATGTTGTAAAAGAAGTCGCAAAACATAATTTAATCAAGTTTATTGTTAAAAAGATGTAAACATGAACATCAAACAAAATTCTTTTGTGGATAAATGCGAAGGAAATAGTTTTAGCAATAACGGTAATAAAAATGATGACTAAAACAACTCTGACAGAGATTCTTTTAAAACGCCAACCGTGTAATGATTATGAAGAGGACTGCAACGGCGAGCACTAGCCAATTTATTCATTTTCAACTGTTAAGGGAAGTTCTTCATCATTATAAATATTTTCGGCCTAGAAAGAAGCAACAAAAAAATAGTAAATCGATTTTGATGAGAATAAGATTGTGAGCTGATAACTTTCATGTAGTGTAAGCAAGGTGTTTCAGAATGTACTTGAAGTATTTTGATTACCAGTCACCTATACTCAGCACTCATTTTTCGTAGGGGGTGTCAAGTGCGGAGATATCTCGAACTGAGATTCAACTCACACACATTACGCTAATTACTGGCTAGTGTCCAATCAAAAAATATTATTCAACTAATTTGTTGGGGTCCAGTATCTCTTAATTTACGACATTATGACACCAACAGTCAGTAGCATCATTCCCGATATGCACATGTTGAAGTCACCGGGTTTTAATCCAGTTTTTATGATGCATAAGCGCTTTCTCTTCGACTTCAGTAGGCAATTCGAGATCAGCTCGGAATCAGAAATTCAAAGTTAACCTGTTTCCTTTGTGGCTTCCACTATAAAATTTGTTTCCATGGACATGAGGATTCAAAGTTAGACATTGTGTTTGGAAAACAATCTAATTAGCTGAATGAGTTTCAGCGCATACACGCAAAAATCATATAAAACTTCCTTAAATATTAATTAAAATGTACTTGATAAAATAATTATGCTAAATAAAAACCATTCAAATAATAAACAATGGAACTTACCATTTGCCACACTTGTAATATGTTATCTTCGGATACTGAGCAAATTACCCATGCATCGTTTGGATTCCACGAAAAGTCAGATATCTTTGCAGTATGGCCACCATGGATAAAAAGCAGCTCTGGTGGTCCATCTTCAACGTCCTCAGCCGATATTTCTTCGCCAATTCTACTAAGATCCCAAACATGAAGACGTCTATCCGTGCCGGAGCTAGCCAAAATAGTTTCATGATGTGGTGACCATTGAACCTGAAGTGGAATTTATATCTTAGTTCTTATTAAATGACAAAAAAGCCTACCAAAAAAATAAAATAATAAGAACCTCAGGATTTCTTAATATAAAGGCTCCCTTCATCTCGTACGAGAGGACATTTATTCGGTATTATCTGTTTGAGATGCATCCCTAATAAGGTCATCGGAATTTGAAAACCCAAAAAAAAACACCTCAGATATGGATATTGGTGTGCGACGACCCAACACTCCTCTTTTCAGTCAGCAGTTTCGTTAGAAGGCTTGACCGATTTTGCTATCCAGAGGTCATCCATGGTGATGATGAAAACCGACTGCATGAGACAATATACAGGTTAACTAAATGACAGTGTCTATGAGAACACTATGCAACTGGTGATGTTGTAAGATTTAGCGGAGTCTATGGTCATGCCCATCCTTAGAGAACCATCAGTAGTCAAACATTTTGTGTATGTGGTCAGTTGTGTCGATGCTAGCGTTCGCCAACCCCGTGGGGGGGGGTTACTAAACTCTGACTTGGATAGACCTGTCACACGACTGTGGAACCTGTTCTATCCTATCTCATGATGTTGGTCGATAATGTGGTTAACTATCAGTTGTATTCGATATTTACACCACGTGGTTCCGAGGTCTAACGGTACGTTTGAGTAGAGTGGAGGTCGTTTTCTGAATGGTAATGTCACCTAAGAATAATTTCAATGGCTCAGATACACGTGTCGCTGCAGTGGCACCACTACCATCCACTTTGTCAGCTTTTGTAGTGGCTAGAACATACTGTATGACACCGCGGCAAGGAATGAATAATATTAGTATTAACCTAGCGTCCGTTAGTGCGTTACAAATTCGCAAGTGGAGTCTGAGAATCTTTTCAATACGGGACGTTATCAGATATATCTTCAAATCGAAATAAGCGACAAAGAGAGCAGGATCTTCTTGTTTCTTTCACTACTGAGGTAAATATTTTTGTCAAGTATGTAAGATTCTGTTTTCCCGAATTTTTCCATTTCTTCATGTGTTTCTTTCTAGTTCATTTGGTCTATATTCAGATATCCGTACGTTACTAAGTCCGCAACTAAATAATCACATAACAATAAGCTTATCTATATAAGAATGCAAAATAAACAGATCATTAGCTCAAAATCTAATGTGAAAAAGTAAACAGTCGCCGCACGTCATGATAACCAAACAACTGACGGATGTACGAATGAGCCTTAATATTGGAGTCCAATCAAATAAAGTATAATTATATTTCAATAGTTTACACACATTGATGAATTTTTGAGTCCAATCACTTCGGAGTAACACTATAAAATATGGCATTTAAATTACCTTCACATATTTAGCCAGGCTTGTGGGACCAACACCCGCGCTTCATTTGGACTGACTGGATGGAAATAGACTATAATATAACCAAACTGCTCTTAACTGTTTCCCCAGTGTTCTTCAGCATCTGTCACTAAAAGTTATCAGAGACAAACCGGTCTTCCACAATGAGTCCTGATTTTTATTTTTCTCCTCGCTTTTTCATCAAACCCAAATATTTTGGTGGTTACCCCTTAGGGGTCGTGTCTTTTCCACTTATTTCGCTGCTCCACACGTTCACATTCAAGTTGCCCTTATTGGAATGTTTCCTCAAGTAAACCAGTTTAAGACAAATGCACTAGGAACTAATGACTTTTACCAGTTTCTTATTGCAAATTACTAATTGCTTTTTTTTGTTTCCATCTGTTTCTTCTACAGCCAGACACTGCATTGAGTTTATTTAAAATAAAAATCCTTGTTATTCTTAGTTGCACTGTTTCATTTGCCGCACCTAAATAGTTTTATGTTATTACCTATAACCTGAGCACATAAATGTCTTTCAGTTATTTATTTTCCGCGTCTATGTGGACACTAGTATCAACCCAGTAACCTATTACCTTTATTATTCAGAATTTTCCTCACTGACCATAAAATTGTGGAAATAAACCACTGTCAACCAAACTGTACGGTTGGAAACGTACACCAGAAAAGAAAATTACCTGGAATATTTCATCTTTGTGTGATTCAAAGGAGTGCAACTTCATTTTCAAACTTCGTAGATCCCACAGAGCAACAGTTCGGTCAGCGCTTCCAGTTGCTAAAATATATTCACTGAACGGATTGAATGATAAACAGTTAACCTCGGCCAAATGGGAATCAACGGTATGACTTGGACATGTGGTAGAAGAGCTACGTATGTCCCATATCATAAGTTTCTTATCATCCGCTACCGAACCAAACACAGATTCTTGAATTGGATGCCAACTAACATCTTCGACTACACTAGTGTGACCAGTAAATATTTTTTGAGCATCGATAATACGACCTTCTTTAGGAGTTGCATTGATATCCCACATACAAATAGTCTACGAATGAAACAGAAACATGAATCAGAAAGTTATCTTAGTTCTGCAATTGCACATGGAAACATGAATCAACTGATGGTTAGTAGACAGGATCTACTGAATTCAAAATACTGTGGCTTTGAAGACAGTCTACATGCATCATAAAAGCTAATAATATAATTTGACTGGGACCTTATTAGATATTATCTTCACATCCATGACCTCCCCAGTATGCCCATAACGACTCACACAGGTTAAACTGGCCGCACACTAACTAATATATATACACATATATATAGTACTGTCCACAATTATTCTATACTAGGAAAACGAAATTTAAAATTGTCTCCAGATTAGGGATGATTAGTAAATTAAGCAGAAAATTAGTCAACTCACATAATCATCTGATGCAGACAAGAGATAACCATTTGTATTTGGATTCCATGACAAACCATAACCCTCTTTCTGATGACCTCTCAATCGTAATTCTGGCTTGCATACACCAGATGGGTCTGGTTTACTTGGATGTTTTGTATAGTCAAATACTAAAACATCAGAACTAGGAGTTTTCGTAGCAATAACACAGGGATTCTGTGGCATGTAACGTGCACGATTGACTTCGCCTTCGTGATTGATTTTGATGTTGATATCAATTTTACCGGTTACGGCACCGAATCCTCCAAATTCTAAAAGGAATATGTTGAAGCATAGTTTAACACACGAGGGATTTGTATTGATGAAATTTGAACCTGTATATACTATTAGATGCATATTTGCAAACATTTTCACCATACACTTTATATCATACCACTAAGAAGCTTGCGTAGAATATGAAATCAATCTGCGTACTCCTTAATTTACTTATACGACCATCATCATTACTCGTCCCTTGGGCTGTGTGTAACATAAGGCTTCAGTAGCAGATCCATTTTTTGCTGTGCTTTGCAGTCCTATCCAGTTAGGTTTACGATTTCTTACAAGCATTCTCTTCCTTCCCACATGATCTTACTCATGTAACTTCCGATTAGTGTTCCACTCGACGGTCTAGCGTCTGGTGATGTCACTTACTGGTCTCCGTAGCGTAGGTCCAATCTATACTCCTACATGCAGTGGTTGGACAATAGGTTTTTGGTTATTTTGCTGTCTCTTGTTGCTTACTTTGTCTGGTTGGTCATCTGATCTTGATTATCGAGTGAATGCATATGCTGATGATAGTCGGCAGTTTGTTAGAAATGCTTTTCGTAATAGGGCTACATGGACTTTTTTCCGTTGATTTATTAAAGTATTCCTTACAGCTCGTGTATACGGGGTTTAAAATAATCATACTTATATTGTTCAGTACACGGAGGTCCATAAAATCAAATGATTACCAAACAGACAAGTCAATGCGAAATTGCAGAAGGTCAGTTATCTAAGCCACAAGACTTCGTAGCAGCATAACAGGGAAACTCATTGATACTAACTATAATGATACAGGATTAAATGAAAACTTGTAGATATGTTTGTAATACCAAAAATGATCTGAGTTATATAAACAAGTGTCCAAGTAGATTCACTGCATTCCAGCCAAAAATCTGAAATAAATAATCAGTCAGTCACCTTGGAATGTAACATGTCAGACTTTAAAATAATTTTTATCTCAAATCGGCACTGGCTACGAAATAACAGAAAACTATATAGCAATTTAAGCAGTTATTTCGCACCAGTCAGTGATGAAAAAAAACTACTCAAACAGTAATAAGTGGTGACCAATGGGGTACAGCAGGTGGGGTATGAAGACAAATGCTCGCCGATAACATTGGCTATATCCTGAATCGGCAGAGGTTGGAACTAATGGGCCATTCGATCGGGTCCCAGTGGCTTAATGGTCTACGAGCTCATCCTGTAACCAGAAGGTCCTGGGATTGAGGGTTGGAACCTTGTTGATGGGTGCGTACTGATGAAGACTCCCCAAGTATGCTGATGAAACAGCTGCTCAGTACTCCCAGGTTTTTCAGTGGTTCTCAAACTGATGTCAGCTCATGATGAAATCCTGAAATTAATAACTTCCGACATGCATTTCTTGAAGTCTTGATGAGAACTCCCAAATTGAATGTTTAACTCAGTCAAGTGGGTAATAGTTTCCCTAAATGGTGAAAATGGATGACAGTGACAATTGATAGTTCTTCCCTTGGCTTTACATGGTGTCGATAACCACCACGAAAGACTCCTGAATCAGGACAAAACATACGTCCTTTCTGTCTTGAATAATTTATCGACTGACGAAAAGCATCACGAAATTAGTTAACTGAAATTGACTAATTCCATTGTGGATGAAATTTTATTTTGATAAAATCACACAGTTATACAGTAATACTTACAGATGACATTTCGAGCACAATTTATTGCTCATAATCATATCACATTACTGTATAACAATATGATTCTATTAAAGTAAAATTGTATCCATAGTGGAATTATACTCTACCACAGTGCCCAAATTTAAACCCTCATATCGAAAATGACTAACTTTTGAAATAAAATATTTGAAAATATCTATAAAATATTAATTTAGTTCTGATTTTATTCATTATATATAAGAACTTTAACTCCTTAATCTTATCGTTTTTCCCTTTCAAAAGGGAAACCTTCACTTACCACCACGTTCAACATCATAACTGTTTGGGTCAAACTGAGCATTATCATTTGGCATATGAACACTAGCAATAAGCAGATGGTTTTGTTCATCAGATGTATGCGTTCCAAGAATAAGCCGGTGTATGGAATAGTCTTTACCTTCTGGCCTAAAAAACAGAAAATATTATTTGAAGAGTATGCAAATACTGAATGTTATGGCTCACTTATCCAAGCAACTTACCCAACGATCGTTACACTTTCAGGAGCTACCTCTCGGAGTTTACGAAATAAAGCCTCATACGTATAATCAACTACAAGAAAAAACTTTAATGGTAGTCAAACTCAGAAGATCTCTGAAGTAGGAATCTCTCCTATGGATATTTCAATCTGTCTGTCTGTCTGTTTTCGATATAGAATATATTTCAATACTACACCAAACTTAATTTGTCTACGCAATAATTACCTATAGGGCATTATCTCAGTCCTTTCACACAAATCATGGAACAACAAAAGCCACCGCAAATTACTTCAGTGATTGTACATTCGGTTACCTGATTAATTATTATATTTCCACTTCTACATAAAAACTTTTTTACTCTCACATTTCGTGATGTCTTTACAAGCTATTCGTCGTCGTTTGAATTCTGTACCGTTTTAAATTGCTGGTTGGTTACATTCCTAAATCCTGTCAACAAAGATATTCACAACGTGTATCGCATTCAAGGTTTTCACCTACCACTTTCGAACATCAATGCAACCCTCGCAATAGGAAAATTTATTTAGGACCGCGGGAACCCTAACCGATAATGTTGTTACGAATCAGATACCAGAATAAAAGACCCAATTTAAATGTTCTGAATAAGTTCCCCATCTGAGGGCGTCATGTGCACTTATCCAACGACTCTGCGGTATTGGCGTCCAACTTCGCTACTGTTAGTGTAGCAATAAGCACTACAGCTAAATTTGCACTACTTAACTGGATCCTCACTACCAATCATATGTTAGGTTTAAGGCTAGGTTATACTAAAGTGCGAAGCAACCAGCAACAGTAGCGTTGTTGTCCGTTATCAATGCATACGCATGAACGAGCTATAGCCTGAATGCAATTAAGGATGAGACCTGACGTCTTTTGAGTGAGTTTCCTAAGTAGGCACGTTGGACAGGCATCGAAGTGCTGAGAACTGATGTATGGTGATTGTTGACCCCGTGCATCCAATATCAGCATGAATTAGTCTGGTCTGACAATGAAGATCGTCTGATATTAAGTGGTGTCATTTTGAGGCACTGACCAGTGGCTTGGATATGTGCTAACAATGTAACCCTATATATTCGCATACACCCTGTCTATCAGCCGTGCACCGCCGAAGTAAGCTTACAACTTATTGCCAAGGGTTTAGGAATAGTTGCGTCGGTGCATTACGACTGTGTAAGTTCCGAAAGATAATCCCAATTGGTAACTCGATATGGTATTGCATATGATTGAAAATTGTTAGCCATGACACTAAAAATTTCTCAATTTTCAATCAGGAAGTAACATACGGTAAAAACTGCTCCTTTAGCTATTCTTGATAAACATATTTTTCCTTTCGTAGTGCTGTTTCGCAACTATTCTTTTCCTCCATATATCGTTATTATTTTGTGGCACATTTCCTTGTTCAAAAAAGGAAAATAATAGACATCTAAATGGACAAGTCAAGCGATTGCGCAAAACATGTTGGTGGCTAATGACTCATTTACAAGAATTTAGAATTTGGTAGGGTAGGTCACCAAACAGAGCATCGCGATAATTAGAAAACAAATGACATGCATTTGCTCATAGATAGGAGATAGCTGTGTCAAACATTTCTACCTAATTTTTATGGGCTTTGAGTGTTTTTAGTTTGAGTAACTTAGTTATGTATTTTAAGCAACTTATAATTACCTATACCTTTCCCAGATTTTACGTTGCAATTCCGCTCTACTATACTATGAAGTGGTGTGGAGAGTAAATACTCAGTAGGAAATACCGCAGCTAATAGAATACATCAGGACTATATTGAGTCAAGTCTTATACCCGTTGAAAGTAAGATTAGGAATAACATAGCTTTTTGAACAGACACTCCACTGGTTATGTTAGTCTCAAGATTTTTATTGCCTAAAAAAACTACATGGACAAGAAGGACGTCGGTGTAAATGGCACACTTCATGAGTAACTCGCGAAATGAAAACCAAACGCACACTCCAACTATTCACAAGTTAAATACAAGAATTTCAGACTCAAGCCCCTAGTAGTGGAACAGTAACAGAAAAATGGACTGTTGCCATGATCACATATCACAGACCGAAAAATGCGATACAATATCCAACGTTATTTTGTCAATGGCTTTGCTTCTATTAGCTATACAAATCATCGCCAAGACGATGTCACTTAACCAATACTTACCTTGTAACTTCAGGCAACCACTGCGCAGTCAAACTTGGCCATTCCAGAGCATGAGTCATAACCATATCATAAAGGAAGGGTGTGTTCTTTTTCCAAATCTTGTATTCTTCATTAATAACTCTCTCTTCCAAACCATCTTCATATCCTGCAAGGAAAGAAAGGGGAAATTCATGTTGAAACAACACTAACCTGAGTATGTTATTATCTCATAAAAAATCTCATAAACTACTACATTCTGAGGTGAACACCTCTTCTGATTAATTTACAGAACATACGACATAAATATTAGTGAATACGAGAATTCCCCATACAATTATGGATGGCATGTCTTAACAGATTGCATCAATACATTAGCGAAAAACATAACCAGATATAAAGTTTAATTCTTAACAATGACAAATAGTGCAAACATGAGTCGTACTGGAACGTAGATTACTACTCAGAAAACATACCTGCGTCAGTCTCAGGCATTGCAGACAACCGCAAAAATCTGTAATGCGCGCGTCGTACAAATTCAATTTCAATAGATTCAATCGCGAGAAAATCCTGAAATGTATTGTTTATTTTTTGTCGTGAATCTGAGTTTTGCTGGCAGATTTGTTGGTCAGTAGCATATTTACAGTGTAGCTGAATAAGCAAATGAGTGGTGTGTCAGTTAGCGCAGTCTTCAGTTCTCAGCGATACGGTGTCTTATCCCATTGTCCGCATCTACCCTTACCAGTGATTCTAATTCTAAGATCCGTACCTATCACAAAGATTCCCGAATTATGGGACCCTTCCCTTCAACCCTAATTAAGAACACTTATTATTTTTAGAATTCTGAGTTTACTGCCTCACTCACACACTTCAGATCAAAACTTAGAAAAATTGTATATAGGATGGGGACATTTTATTCAGCGAAATTCATAAGGAACTCGAATAACTATCGGTTGGATAATCTCCTATTATCTGCCACTATATTGATACCTGAAGCTTTTGAAGTGGTGGAAATGAGGAGTGGCCTTATTGCATTCCCAAGCTAATTATGACGCTCAAATCCGTTGTTATGTCGGTTTAGTAACAAGTTGTGTTTTTTATGTGCTTTTTAAATGAAAGTTTGCATTTAAAAACACTTAAGACTCACATTATATCAGCGGGATAATGTACTTGAACTGCGTTACATATGCAGCAACTGTATCAAGAAATGTCACTTGATACTGACATCTGCGTAATGTGTTAGTTTAAATAAGGTAGACAGTTCAAAATTGAAACATGTATCCTTAAATTTTCATGAAATCATACCGGTGTATTCGGCCTATTTATTGATATGCTATTGTCTCAATCGGTTTGGTATTTGTTGGTTCCCATAGATCAACTTCAGCATTAATTCTAATTTTCATTTACTCATCACAGTCAGTTTTTCATTTTAAGACAAAAGTATTAGCAGTATTGTCATAATATGTAGCAGTGTTGCGAACTTGTGTTTCAGGTGGCATTTATTTGGAGGGCAAAATTTAGTTGGTGCAATATTCCGATTTTATAGGCATAACCTAGGCTCATACATAAAAGAAACGTTTTTGGAATATGGGTGAAAATTATTTGGAAAATTATTTGGAATAATGACAAATTGTTCAGAAGGTAGGGAAGACTTTATTTTTCGGTTTATTCGTACAAATACTATTGCGTATTGACCTGCATTGCAATTCTACATGAAGCAAGAGATTTTGAATGCCTTGCCCTCTCTTTAGCATAATTGACGCTACAATTACTTCACAAAGACTCTCCATATTAGGCTCAGTAAGGACGTATAGAAGTTTTCCCACTTCAGTGTTTTGAGTTAATTTGTTACCTGTGTGGGCTTTTTACAGTGACAAATTTGGCATGGAAATTTCATTTTGAAATTAAAAGTGTACACGTTTTACTAAATCTAATGCACTTACTGTATACATTTTATGTTCGTCAAGTGGTCATTTAGCTGTTGCTGAATGCTGCCATCAAGCTGCAATTATAATTTGTGTGGATACCTCAAAAACAAACTTATCCAACTTTTACTACTACGTGGGAAATGAACATATTGTGCATTACTTTTTTTAATCAGAATCTCTGCACTTTGAACTTAACGTCGTGGTTTGAATGAAAATATAGTTCTGCCTACAACTCTCCGCCTTCTCCACCACCTCGACTGCCATCAGCCAATTCTAATCACCTGCTTTCTATCTCAAAGTTTCGCGGGGACGCCATATTTTCTCCCTGCGTTACCTTGGTCGACCTCTGGCAATAGTGATATTGAAAAATCAAGATTGGAGCAGTCTTCTCATAATACTTCTAGAGTCTGCTGCGATAATTGTGGATTTGGACCTTGTAATAACCCAGGTAACAAATTTTATTCTATTCCTCCACTAACTTTACTGATTTGGTACTTTTGTTCCTATTCGAATTTGGGATACCAAGCTAGCAGAGTCTAACCTCCGCCACAAAACTTGGCATAGTAGTAAAAGTTGGAAAAGTTTGTTTTTGAGGTCTCCACACTTGTAATTCCGAGAATTGTTGTGATTTTCATTGGCAGCAGCTCACAACCTATTGAGTTTACACAACCAAAACGCCCATTTATCATTTCACCGAGGTAACACTAACTGGGTCTTTTGAAAAAGCAGCACGTCATTTTGTGAATTTCATGAATTCTACAGATTGCATTCTATTTCCTTAGTACTAAAACTAAACTATGAGGGAACTTATAATTCCAAGGAGTATGTAATACAAGGCTTATTTCTACGACTGTCGTCTTTATTTTAGTTCACTTCCATCGTAGAAAAGAATTGTCTCTCATTCACTTTGGTGACTTACCAGGGAACAGTCTCGTCAGCTTAGAGTACGCTGGTAATATTCTATTATAGATAAGACCTTATTTTGATAAATCACACATTGTTATACAGTAATATTAAGTGATGTCGTTTCGAGCACAAACTGTTTCCACTCATAATCATATCAAGTTACTCACACAACTTTTTTCCTTCGTTTATATACATGTGTGGAATCGGTTAGATATTGGAATAAAAGTCAATATAGGATAACGTACATTCAGAATTATTTATATGAGTGTTATCGATCAATTACAATCAGATGGGAAATAAGATAAGTGTTTTTATAGTCATACTAAGCAATTCTTTAGAATGTTGTGATATGCTTGAATTGATATAGAATTTTAAGTCAGATCAGAAGAGGACAAGAAACAAATCTCAAACCTCTATTTCAATTCAAGCACATCACAACATTCTAACAAATTACTTACTTCTACCACAATTTGTTACCAGCACTATTATTACACATACTGCTCTTCTGTTGACTTCAGTTCTTGCAGTTCCACTGACTTTACTGAATTCACTTATTTGCTTGTAAAAGGAGACAAATTATGACGGCTCGTGCAACACGTAAGATTCCATCAAGTACAAAATTTAATGTCTAGAATGAAGTCGCCATCAATATTGTTGTTATCACTGTTAATTGGCGCCGCTGCGATGGGCTAGCCGGAGCTGTAAAAACTCTCCATTGCAGGCAGACTCATTCTGAATAAAGTCGTTATCGGCTACTCCTAATGTGCTCATAGATCTTATAAGGAAAGGATTAAGCACACACCTATGTGTTCTACTGCTGTGTGGCTGTAATATCTAATAGTAGATAATATAATTAAAAGCGCCCTAATATTCTGTGGCTCTCAACATGAGGTGTAAATGTAGTTGAAGATTGAACGATCAATTCATGGTTGTTTGCTCAAAATCAACTTCCCCAATTTTCGCGGAGGCATCAACACACCAGTCATCGTCTCATCGGTCGCTGTTCAGAAAGAAGTCAGTAGCAAACCGTCAGAAGTAATCTTGTGATTTATTATTGTAATATTTGTTCATGGACCTTAGTTGTGTACTGGCTATATGTTGGTGTTAGAATAAATAATTCTCGAGTCGCCAAACTGGGTTCTGGTTTTCACGTCCGTTCGTACTAAGCGTTTCTGAGAAGCTTCAAGCTACAGCGTGAGCCTGAGCGTAGCAAGAGCTGGGCATTAACGGTTTACGAGACGTGATTGACAGTTTCTGACGGTGGAAAGAGATTCAGGCGGATTCAGACAGTCGGTGACAGTTTGGATAGTCACCGTTCATCTTTCCTGGTGCCGGTCAAGTCCTCTTTGAACAAGCAATATCTGGAACGTTTTTGGAATTGGGTCAAGTTCAACAATGCCTGGGTCAAAGAAGGGACAGAGCGTCTTGGATGCAAGCAGGAAAGTAAGTCATGGTGACTTGTCTGTTAATTGTAACGATGTGTCTGATGTTAAGCATGACATGGTTGATGTTATTGTTTCGCCGTTCAGGGATAATAGGAACATCAAACTCCCTAAATTTGAACCACGATGTTTTGATGGAAACCCAGCTGATTATATACAATTTGTAGAGGAGTTTGAGATCATGTTGAGTAGTTTTCTATCAAGTGATGAATTGAAGTTAATGTATTTGATGAGATATTGCACTGGAATTTCTGCAAGAGCTATACAGTGTTGTAAGTTTATGAAGCCAAAAGAGGGCTACTACGAGGCTATGAGCATACTACGTCAAAGGTTTGGAAGACCTTCGATGATTGTAGGGAAATTATTCGAGGCTGTTAAGGGTAATGGTAGTCAACTACAAGATGACTCCCAGGCACTTACTGAGTTTATGGAAAATCTGTTGATTTACAAGAATGCATTGATTTCGATGAATTGTATGAGTGACCTCAACTCGAGTTTTATACTAGAAGTAATAGCAAGACGCCTACCTACTCGACTGCAAAGGAAGTGGGTGAATTTTTTTTTTTTTTTTTTTTTTTGGTATCGAGCCAATGTTTGATGATATCCTGAAACTGGCAAAAGATAGCGTCAATCTATCTATGAGCGAGTTCGCCAGTCTATTGCATCTCACCCCTAGAATAGAGCAGTCTGAGGGTAAAACGCAATCATTGATGACGAGTAGGCCCCAGAGAGGTGGATATCGAGAAGGCTCCATGATGTCTAGTAATGCATATAAACTTAGTGAGTGCAACAGGTTTCGTAGTACATCCTCAACAGATAAGTTACAAGATGCAAGACAAACACGGTTGTGTTTCACACGTTTGCAAGAAGTGCGTACAAAGGTGAACTGTGAACCAGTGAGCAAGTTCAGTGATAAGCTAAATGTAAACTCCAGGCATGACTCCGAATTGTGTGACGATAACGGTTTGGTCAGGAAGTCTGTAGTTGCAACTGGTAAGCCATTGTTGAACAGAGTGTCACAGAATAGAGTTGCTGATTCAGAGTGCAGTTCTGACCCTACAAGTTTACAAGGTATTACTAGTCAGAGTGAAGTTATAAGACCTTTTAGGATTTGCGAGGAGGAACCAAAATTGTCTACTTCTGTTATTAAAGAGTTTGAAAATGATGAAGTTGACGGTAAAGTGAATATTCGTGATAATGATCATGATACTTCACAGTT